TACCAGCTTTATTATAGCTTATTACACCAGTTCACTGTCACCATTGGCTCATCACTGTAATATATTTTTCAACCTGAAATGAAAGGAAAAGGAAACCTGTGTACAGCAGATACGCAACAAATGAAGCCTTGTTTTTTAGGTAACGTTGATTTGAAAGATGATTAGTCACCCGAAGCTTTAATGTGACTAATGTAGCGAGCATGTGTGACTGGACTGTTTTCTGACTTCATCCAGTGGTATGTTTGTAGCTAACGCGCGCTAACACAACACAACACAGCACAGCACCTAGCATGCCCTCCCACAACAGCTATGTAACTTAGACACGAATTATCGTTGCATCAAGTAAATGTCGCGATTTGCCCAATCGCCCACCTATCAATCCTTTTTGCAATATTTGGGGCAAAATGTCAGCCGCTTCTGCCTGTATTCAGTTTCGTGTCTCGTTTACAGCCTAGCATGCTAATTAGCCTAGCGTCTAGCACTGCCAGCCAATGGTAGCCCAGCAACATTCCGATAAACCACATTCGGCCTCAACGATAGAAACACGGACTCGGTCGCCAATTCGAGCCTGAGAATCTCCGGATTTTACTCACCGTAAGTATTGGGCGCAGAGGTTCATCCTGTCAAATCGCCAGTCTTTTAGACAACGACAGGTTCACAAGCTAAATCTACTCCCGGCGCCATATTGTCCATCACATCGTCATTGGTAGAAAACGGTCCAGACGTACACACAGGAGCGCGCTGACCTGCGTCACAGACCCCGCCCCCTCGCATCTCATAGCAGCTTGTCCAAATCCAGACTGTGCATCGTAGCAAGGCTAAATACTTTAAGGGTCCAAACAGTTTGACCTCTTATACTAATTTTTGTTGGCCTATCAACGGGGTAGTATAATTCTAATGTGCTACACTGCAAGCAATAGAAATCTGCTACTGTTATGAAACTTTCCTGCTAAGTTTTAACATCCAATATATATTTTAAAGCGCAACCTCGGTCTAAAAACGAAAAAAAGTGTGTCAAATAAAAGAATGGTACACAGATCTGCATAACAAAACACAGCCCACAAATTAAACAGCCACAGAATGCTGTTCCCCTTTTCCCCGGTTGTGACGCCCCTGGTTGCAGGCATACTCAACACATTTGACAAGGATGTTTATCAAAAAGAAACCTCACCAGCTTTCTTGTGTCAAATGATTTGATACCCTTGCAATATGCAGTCATGCTTCTGGTCCTTTATGTTTTGAGGGCTCTGATGGGTTTTGTGAGTAAAGAAGGACTAACAATCCCCAATGGTTGCATTTGCTTATAGAGAGAAAAAAAACAGCATAACATCTCAGATATATAATGATTTGTTAAACTGAGTTGTTTTCGCCATTTGAAACATGTTTGAGAGCTTTAGAGAGCTTGTTTTGCAATTGATGAGTCACACTGTGACTATAATGCTTCCATATTCAGATGCCTGTCATCATCAAGGATGGTGTTCATTGTGCTGATAAACACATCACTGATGCCATGCCAAATATGTGAGGAAAAATGCTCAATCTAGTCATTTAAAAGACTTCAACTAAGGCTGAACTAAGAAAAAATGGCATTGATTCAAAACGGCATACAAGTGTAAATTTCTTTTATTCATTGACTCTAGCAGAGGCTATTATCCAATGCGACTTACAGATGCGAATAATACAAGCAGAAGTGATTAATCCAAGCGGCTCTGTTCAGCAGCTGGACTTTTAATTACATTTGCATAATATATTGGACAGTATTTACTGCTGACTAGTCATGATTGGTTTGAGAATAGTCTAAGAGAGACAAATCCAGTGAGGCTCTGTTCAAATTGATCCATGATTCACACCTTGCATTCAATCTAGTCATTTAAAAGACTTCAACTAAGGCTGAACTAAGAAAAAATGGCATTGATTCAAAACGGCATACAAGTGTAAATTTCTTTTATTCATTGACTCTAGCAGAGGCTGTTATCCAATGCGACTTACAGATGCGAATAATACAAGCAGAAGTGATTAATCCAAGCGGCTCTGTTCAGCAGCTGGACTTTTAATTACATTTGCATAATATATTGGACAGTATTTACTGCTGACTAGTCATGATTGGTTTGAGAATAGTCTAAGAGAGACAAATCCAGTGAGGCTCTGTTCAAATTGATCCATGATTCACACCTTGCAGCCGTAGGACCCTTTGTTTGAGACAGAGGCAGCCAGTGTTAATGAGGGCCACTGGCTTGCCTCTCTTGACTGCTTGTCTGCACGTGTGTATTGAATGTATTTTTAGTGTTGACAAACGTGGGGTGCAAATGCGGTCTACCCACAGGGGATACCAATCTGCTGCACACTCTAAAAAAAGTCAGTAAAAACAAGGCACAACGTGTTAAAGGAATTTTCCATATTGATTTTTCACAGGTGTATTACTGTATTTTGAATTATGCATTGTTGTGTTTTAGGGTCAAATGATATGTCTGTAAACTTAACAGCTAATGTCCTGGTAGTAAATGAACACACCTTTTCCGTCTTTCTTCAGACGTTTTCTTACAATGTACTGACATTGATAAATTATCTTTTTTTGTTTTTGTAGTTGTGTGGGATGACTGCATGATTATAAAAGGAAAGCTGTGCAGCTGTTCAGAAACACCTGTTTGTGTCCATTTTTTGGCATACAGTCTTATATGTGTCTCACCCAATTATGGGCCTCTGCTAATATTTTTTTCAAAAGGTTCATTTTTGGAATTTTCTGGCTTTTAGGCATACACATCACAGTACAACGCTCAGCTTGATTCTGTGACACTTTTAGTTAATCTAAAAGTGTTTTCAAACAGCTATTTTGCCTTTATCTAGATGTAAAGCTGTGCAATAACAATAATCACATTTAAATATATTTTCAACTGGAAAAGCTCATATTTATATTATAATATATTAATTTATTAATTAAATTTAAAAAATACAATTATTTATTAATTTGTTACTATTTGTTTATTTTATTTATTTAGTCATTTATCAGACTATTATATTATATTTATTTACTACAAACCAAAACCCTGATTTGTGTGGTTTTGTTATTTGTGGGATAAACATAATGCAATGAAATCAAAAGGAAATTCATAAAGGATTAATAATGCAAATTTGTGGTCCAATTAATCAATTTTGCATAAATTTATGAATAAATCAATAGTACATTATACATATTATTTCCTTTTTTAAATGAATATAAATTTATTTATAATGCATCTGCAATAACAAACTCTGATGTGTGTGATTTTGTAATTTTATAGAAATAAACACAATGCAATGAAACCAAAATCAAAAATCATGTTTAATGGGCAGTAGGGCTGCAAGTAGCACAATTGCAAACGTCTCTAGATGTCTGTGAAAAAAATAGCCCATGCAAAACAATTTTTTGCAGTAATTTTATTAATTTATTTTCTGATCTTTTGATATCTGAACATGTTTGTAATGTAAAGTGACCACTAAAATAAGAAGCACTAAAGGAATCGGAGGAGTCATTAAGATGAATCGGAACTGAAGCCATGTTCCTTTAAGTGCGCAGGGCTGGATCCCAGTGACGCTCTGCCTCTCGCGCCTGCCGCAGCCTAATGAACCTCGCCTCTTGCTGCGGTCTCACAACAAAACAAAAGGCCTTAAAATCCGCGACATATGTTAAAAAACGATAGATCACCACAACCAAAATGACGGAGACCACTAAAACGCATGTCATTTTGCTGTCATGTGGAAGCGGTGCAAATGCGGTCTACCCACAGGGGATACCAATCTGCTGCACACTCTAAAAAAAGTCAGTAAAAACAAGGCACAACGTGTTAAAGGAATTTTCCATATTGATTTTTCACAGGTGTATTACTGTATTTTGAATTATGCATTGTTGTGTTTTAGGGTCAAATGATATGTCTGTAAACTTAACAGCTAATGTCCTGGTAGTAAATGAACACACCTTTTCCGTCTTTCTTCAGACGTTTTCTTACAATGTACTGACATTGATAAATTATCTTTTTTTGTTTTTGTAGTTGTGTGGGATGACTGCATGATTATAAAAGGAAAGCTGTGCAGCTGTTCAGAAACACCTGTTTGTGTCCATTTTTGGCATACAGTCTTATATGTGTCTCACCCAATTATGGGCCTCTGCTAATATTTTTTTCAAAAGGTTCATTTTTGGAATTTTCTGGCTTTTAGGCATACACATCACAGTACAACGCTCAGCTTGATTCTGTGACACTTTTAGTTAATCTAAAAGTGTTTTCAAACAGCTATTTTGCCTTTATCTAGATGTAAAGCTGTGCAATAACAATAATCACATTTAAATATATTTTCAACTGGAAAAGCTCATATTTATATTATAATATATTAATTTATTAATTAAATTTAAAAAATACAATTATTTATTAATTTGTTACTATTTGTTTATTTTATTTATTTAGTCATTTATCAGACTATTATATTATATTTATTTACTACAAACCAAAACCCTGATTTGTGTGGTTTTGTTATTTGTGGGATAAACATAATGCAATGAAATCAAAAGGAAATTCATAAAGGATTAATAATGCAAATTTGTGGTCCAATTAATCAATTTTGCATACATTTATAAATAAATCAATTGTACATTATACATATTATTTCCTTTTTTAAATGAATATAAATTTATTTATAATGCATCTGCAATAACAAACTCTGATGTGTGTGATTTTGTAATTTTATAGAAATAAACACAATGCAATGAAACCAAAATCAAAAATCATGTTTAATGGGCAGTAGGGCTGCAAGTAGCACAATTGCAAACGTCTCTAGATGTCTGTGAAAAATATAGCCCATGCAAAACAATTTTTTGCAGTAATTTTATTAATTTATTTTCTGATCTTTTGATATCTGAACATGTTTGTAATGTAAAGTGACCACTAAAATAAGAAGCACTAAAGGAATCGGAGGAGTCATTAAGATGAATCGGAACTGAAGCCATGTTCCTTTAAGTGCGCAGGGCTGGATCCCAGTGACGCTCTGCCTCTCGCGCCTGCCGCAGCCTAATGAACCTCGCCTCTTGCTGCGGTCTCACAACAAAACAAAAGGCCTTAAAATCCGCGACATATGTTAAAAAACGATAGATCACCACAACCAAAATGACGGAGACCACTAAAACGCATGTCATTTTGCTGTCATGTGGAAGCTTCAACCCCATCACGAAGGGACACATTCATATGTTCGGTGAGTATTTCGCCTATTCTGGATGGAGTGGATGCGCGAGCTGATTTTTAATTCAGCCTTTCTGTTGAATGTGTATGTAAAGGGTGACCGTGATGCTTTCAGACATCGTGATGTCTCGCTTGATGATCGATTAGATTTTTCTGTAATAAAGTCTTATTGTCGTTCGCTGTCCAAAGCGAAGGTGCTGAAATGGGCGACGGCCTCAAAACCCTGAATGATCAAATCATCTCTCGGTTCAGACGATGGTGCTGCGCAGCCGCAGGTTTAGCAAAGAAATCTCTATATTCATCCACTGTTTTGCGGACGCAAGCAATATAAAACTATGATTTATGATATTTCAACATAATTAATCATTACTTCTGCGAATGATACTTGGCATGCTAGAGCGCTTATGTGAAGACAAATAACAATCAACACTGTACATTTAACGTAATGTGATATGAATATGCTTTATATACCGACCATTAAGGAGTTTTTGATATTAATTTAGGCCTATGGCAAGTGAAATATATTTAGGGCTAGGTTTAATTCATGCATTTAAATGTTTGCATCCTTTTAACTCTCCAAATTATTTGTCATGTTGATTTTAGACGTTTTCAGAGATTCAACTTGACTTTCTTCTTTGTTCTTAATAGTCCAAAGTGGTTGAGGTTGTAATGAATGTATCACTAATAGTTTCAGTCATTCGTCTTCATTTTACTTTAAAAGAAGGCAGTAATTAAACATACAGTTCAATTTTTCAATTCAGCGTTGGGATGAATGTTTTATACCTTTATACCACAAGAATATATGATATATGTGAAAGCATGAAAACCAGTAAAAAATATAATTTTACAATTAAAATTATTAGGACAGAAAGTCACTGCTCCATAAACATTTATGACCAAAACCAAAAGACTTTTAATAAGGCCACCCTGTGTAGTTAAAAGTAAAATGACCACATAAATGATCCTGTATATAGTCTGTTAAGCCCTTATGTTCCATTTGGGGAGCCCTGGGGTATTTCTCAGAAATAATTAGTTTAATACTTCATGACTTCAAAATTATAAACAAAATTTCAGCTTGATTTATCCTCTAACAAATACTGATATGTTACCCATGTTTTAGGTGTAAACATGAATAAATGCAATGAATTTTCACAAGTTGTTTCACATGTTTCACATGCTGTCTGATGTTTATTTTGATTTGTTTAATTGTGTTTTCTATAATGACAGAATATTGACAGAATGTTAAGAATTTGTTGGAAAAATGCATATCTACTTTGTGAAAAAACTTTGCCTATGGGTTTGATTAGGTCAGAGGAACGTGTTAAACAAATGTGAATTTGCATATAAAAAAAATGTCAAGTAAATCTCAAAAGAACACAAGGGTTTACTGAAAATATGCATTTATGCATCATACTGTATGTGATAGAAACTTAAGAGTGCATGTGGGAAAGGAAGAGACACTCAGAGAGAGAGAGAGATTTCTTCCATCGGCTCGTCCATCTCCACATTTAAGTGTGCCAATAAATATACCAGGGGAAAAAAACTTAGGAGCTTTGTAGTTTCCTTAATTCAGTTACTGCAGCTGTATTTCTCAGAGCATAAGCAAGATGAGGAGTACCACCACCACAGTTTGATCAATACATTTCCACTGTTTTTCCCTTGAAGCAAAAGCATCTGCGTGTCCATGACCTAATTTTTAAGCCTTCTTCTCCTACTGCATGCCTTTACATATATTGAGGTACAAAAATAAGAACGGGGTTTATGGCTTATTCTGAGCAATGCAGCTATTCTGAACCGCTTGGATATCTGATACCACTAAAAATATGATTAAACAATACATTTAAATGCTAGCATTTCATTGATTAAGTATTGAATATCTTGGTTTGTGTAGCCTCTGCTTTTCGATGTGGCCTCGTTTTTCCTTTCCTTTGTTTTGCACACAAGAGGTATTTTCTTAGGAGATTTGTTCAGATTATTTCATTTTATGTCTGCCTCATATTCCCCAGCAGGAGATCTTGTTTCTGACATTCACTTCTGTCAATATTTTCATGGGGCTGGGGGTGTGAGGTTATATTAGACAGATGAAGCAGTGTGCTTACATTGTGAGAGGAATCAGATACCAGTCATCAAAGTTAAAACAGAGGTGCTGTCCTCACATAAAAGTTGTTTCACTTTTTTATGTCTCTCAAGAGAATTGCTTTCATCCAGACTACCTTTATAATTGGCATATAGTGTGTTACAGAAAACAAAAAATGCTCATGAGATAATAAGGAAACCTGTTTGGTTTGCAGAAAAAGCCAGAGAGTACCTACACAAGACTGGACGCTTCATTGTGATTGGGGGTATCATCTCACCTGTACATGATTCCTATGGCAAATCGGTAAGAGAATCCGTTCGTTTAAAGGTCTAAAGGTATTTTATTATTAAGTGATATCACAGAAAGAGAGTGCTATTGATTTTTATATTGTAGATAATCACATCTGTGATGTTGAGACCAACGTCGTGTGTAGAATTGCAGTTCAGTAACTTGCATTTTTAGATAGATATATTACCAGGTGCTTTGCCATCTGACACAGCTCCAAACAAAGTCCCGGCAGAACCGTTGTGCATCTTATTGGTGTTCCTGAATGAATCAGTGTTTTTGGACGGACTGTTTTAGGGAACGATTCAGTGACTCATAAAGACACTTATTTTGTTCCTAAATGAATCAACATTTTTGAATGAATTGGTTAAGTAAATGATTCCATGACTCGATCATCATTCATAAGAAAGTCACTTGACGCCATCTACTGGTGTATCTATGTAACCTGCAAAAAGAGTCAAGAAATCCCCATACAAACAGTGGACTGTTATATCAGTAGTCTGTTAAGGTGCAGTCAAATGAATGACATTTTGCGGTCAAAATAGGTTGATTATATAACACAACTCACATATAAGTCACTTTAAAACCAAGCAGGTTTGGTAAATGCTGCAAATTTGTGTGACCAACTTGAACCTGTTGCGAAATCTGTGGGGAAATCTTTCCCCCTCAGATTCCAGGTTGCATGGATTCCTACTGAACTGCATTGCCGAACTGCGAGCCGGTTGAAAATCGATTCAAATATGTGACGATTCAAATCGGTTGAGATGCTAAATAAATCGATTTATTTAGGTATAGGAGTTTATAGGAATGCATGTCTGAGGGGAACTTACTGTCTTTAGAAAAGTTTAGATGGTATTTTTTCTTTTCATCTTGCCTCTGTATAACGCATATTAAAGTTCATAAGTGCAGCGCTGCTTTGTTTACAGCGGAAACCAAGGAAATGCTTTAGGCGCCACCTGCTGGCAGAGAGTGAATCTGCGTCTCATTCAGCTCCTCTGCTGTTTCATGCAGATATTTTTATGTATAGTTTCACAAAACAAAAGTCAAACCATTCTGTTTTTGCTTCAGATTTCGAAATTATACAATCTAATTTAGATTAAAAACGGATCATGTTGCATGTATGCAGCATCTTTGTTTGGATCATGATTAAAATACAGTGGTTGCCTCTAAGTTTAAATGGAAAGAGTACAGACAAAGAATCCGTGTATCGTTCGATCATTCATTTTTTTTAATTTAAAATTGAAAGTAGAAAAATTTGAAAACGGCTCCTTTTTTGTGTTTTTGTTTTTTTCCGAAAAACGAGAATTCAGCTGAAATGTTCGTTTTTCGTTCTTGGGTGGAAAAATTAATAAACAGCTTGAATATTCAATTTCTACACGTGGGCAGGAATTAAACGCCCCTTTCTGCTGATTGGTCAGCCGAAGATCAAACCGTGCCGTCTTCAGTTCTTCCACAGTATCACGCAGCAGAATAATAGTCCTCCACTGCTACAGTTGTATGGATTAATAACCCATTTTATTGCAACTACATTTCATATTTTTCTCATCAAACAAACAGGCTAATGAATAGCTCGACACAACTCATACCGGGGCAGAGTCTAGACAGGGCTTTCTTCTGTGTAGACCAGCGGTTCTTAAAGTGATAGGGGGTCCGAGAAATAATTGAGTATTCCTTGTGGTTCATGTTTGTGGCATGCGCTGGAAAGATGCTCAAGGAGACCTAGACGTGCTAAAGCAGCGCATTCTGTTCTCTTTATTTTTCAAAGGCATGACATTTTGTAGTTATTTTGAACGTAACGTTACACAATTAAAAATATAAATTTTACCATACGACTAATTAAGTTATTTCCCCTCGATGGGGAAAAAATCCAAGTGAACATCAATCAGTACTCAATATTAATTTTAACTGCTTTAAATATGACTGCTGCTTATTTCCTGTGCACTTCTGCGCTTGACTGTAGTCGCGTCTGTCTGCTTATTGAGTTTATTTAACCCATCGCAATTTATTGGAACTGTGTGAACTAGAGTGAATATTCACCTTAATGTTGTTCTAAAGGCTTATTACTTAATAACACAAAAATTTCCTGCTCGCACTTGCCAATTTAATGGCAGAGAATGGTGACTATTTGTTTTAATTTTATTTATTTTTTTGAAGCGGATGCATATCTGTCGTAAAATAATCCTATGCATCTCGTGGCGTATATTCCAAGCATTCTGAAGGTATACTGAGGGTTTGGTGAGAAACAAACTGAAAAGGCAAGTTATAATATTTTATGAAAATATTGCGTTGCAGTGCGAGTGCGCAGCACAAGTGCATATCCTTTTGAGATATCATATAAATTATAATCAATTTTAATAAAACACAAGACTACATTGTATAACTCTAACAGTAGGCTATATTTAATATCTGTTGTTCTCCGGTTGTCAGTCAGAATGACAGTTCTTGCGTGAACATAGGCCTATATATACCCAAGCCAATTTATTATTCTATCCTTTTTGTCTTAGTGTTTAAAATATTTATTTTGAAACTAATTAATTAATTAGTTAAACAGACTTACTGGGTGAGCAGTGTAGGCTAAGACAGCTGTCATATCATACACTGCCATGCCCAGCTGATGCAAAGAATATAATTTATATAGACACAGAAGAAAGTCCTGCCTAGACTCTGCCCAGGTATGAGTTGTGTCGAGCTATTCATTAGCCTGTTTGTTTGATGAAAAAAGACTAA